GTAATATATTTACTGAGAAAAATGTTGACGTGTTCAATACTTATTTTACCCACTGTATATATAAGATCGGAGCTGCTTCTCAGAGCAGCACCTGTCTTCATCACATACAGTATTTTATGACGGCATGACCATATTTTACTGTAATATTTTCTTATTGTTCTTAAAGAAAACAGTCATAATGTTCAAGATGTGTGTAGAAGTTTGATTATACAGAACAGAGGCTCACTGTTTCATGACACYGCTTGTCCTTTATGGTTTCATTCAGCTGTAATGTTAAAGGTTGGCCAGCAGATGGAGCAACACTATGGAGGTATAGAACAACAGGGTTCTTATTCAAGTCTATGAATGTATGAAATGATTCAAAACACTGAGTCATTTCAGCTTCATATTCATTCAGTGATTCAGAAAGCRTTGGTTTATCCACCACTACTTATTCACAGAAACAATGACTCTATATGAGGACATTTCTTCTGTTTGTGACTCTGGACATAAACGCAACAGCAGCAAATTTAAAAACTTTCTACGAAATGGTGACTACCAGCATCTTGGCCAAAATACTGCAGCACATGTCCTAGATCCAAAATGAAATCCAGAGATCGGGCTTCTGAGGCTTTTAAATCTTTGCTGAAGATCCATCTCTTTTCTTTGCTTTTTGATGAAAACCAAGTTGGAGGTCCAGTTAGAGCTTTTTATATATTATAGTGTTTCTGTATTGCATTTGTATCTATTATTTATTTTGTTTTTGATACAGGTCTTGAACTGTAAAGCACTCGGCTTTTGTTGTTTTAATGTGCTATGTAAATAAATAAATTTGACATTGAKATCGATGTGTCGTGATACACGCTCCTCTAAAGATGCAAATTCATTAGCTCCTAACACTGCAGCTAACAACATTACAGTAAATAAGAGGAATATATTTGTACAAACCCACTCTGTGCAGACGAACTCTGGGGTTGAAAATAGCATCCAGCATTTTATTTTGTTTCCATCTTCCCTTTAAAGGCACAGTGTGTAGGATTTGTTGTTTTCAGTGACATCTAGTGGTTGAGTGG